ATGTGAATGATTAATGACAATCACATAACCTGTAAAATTTTTTTCACAATAATAATCTGTGACAATTTACTCCAGCTCCTCAAGTAAGATTTGTAATGTCTCTAGATCCTGTGACGAAGACTCAGTTTTTATGTTTATTTAGTAATAGAGCAGGCAAGTCATTTCTTATGCAAGACATCGGCAGGGACCTTTGCATGCCTCTCCCATCATTGCATTTTGCAGAGCAGTTTTACTTAGAGCCTTAGCCTATGATTCATTTCACATCCCCATTCCCCAATGAGGTCGTTTGGTGTATGTTTGATTTACCAACAGCAAAGCAGGCATTGTGTCTTTTAGTATCTCAGACATGTCTGTATAGATTAGAATTGTAACCTACAGTTGCAACTTACACTGTGCAGTTTTAGATTTCAGAATACTGAGAGCACAATGTAGTTGATCATACATAGCATGTTGACCTGCTTGTCTCCTTTGGGACATAAGGGGCAATCATTGGAGTCTGGATCTGGGAGAAAGAAAAGGAGATCCAATGTTAAAAATTAAATTGTAGCAGTTCTACTACGAGGACAGAGCCAGGCAGTGGAGTAAAACCAAGCTCATGCAAAATTATCTCCCTGTATATTAGTGCAATATGAATAATACAGGTTTCTAAACAGGAAAAATGTAGCATCTTCCTCTTCTAGTCCAAGTTCAAGTTCAAAGCTAGAGACCAACTGTGGTTGAGATGTGGGAGGGGGCTTGGACTGGGGAATTGGATTTTAGGGCTCTCAAACCATGACACTAACACAAGCAGGATTGTAGGACAGCACTTGTGAGCAGAGCAGCTGACAGCTTCATTGTGACCTGGACCTCACTCTGTCCCAAAGGATGCTCAAAGGGCCAGTGTCTCATTTTTCACAGAAGAAAGATACTTTCTACCTAAATGTTTCAGGTAAGAGGCTGGGTCAGTGAATAGCTTAATGTTAATTTACTCATTAAACAGATCCACTTGGATTATTTAGGATTAGGGGACCCCTGGTGGTCTAGTGGTTAGGATGTAGCACTCTCACCGCTGCAGCCCGGGTTCGATTCCCGGTCAGGGAAAAACTCCCCCAGGCAGATGGAGCTCGTCAGCCCTGTAAGGC